GGCGTTGAGAGGTGTGTTGCTTTGGCTTCTTTGCGTTTGTGTGCTTTTCTCTCTCTCTCTCTCTCTTGTTCTTTTTTACCACACGTACCACTTTCTTGACCTTCTTTGAGCCATATGCGTGAGATGAGGTGCTGCACTTTCGATCCATCTGACCATCGATCTCTCGAGGAGGGACGGCAGGTTGGTTGTGTTGAGTGTCGGGTGCATGCAGTCTAGGACTGTCTGCACTGGGTATCTATAGCACCCATCTCCATACCTATGTCCTTATGGATAGGGAGAAAAATATCTATTTTAATTTTGGATAAAGAAGCGAGGGTAATACCTATTGTTATCCGGGAACATATCCTATGCACACAAGCCCCACGTGTACAGTGTACACACTGCACATACCAATTAACAAATGCCACAAAAAAATCTATAAAAGTACGTTCATACATGTATTTTCAATTGTATATCTACGTGTAAAGTCGTACCTTCAAATTCATTTTACATAGAGATAAAAAAAAGCAAAATTTTTGATAGAAACCTTAAAACTGTGATTTTTTTTGTTACGGCTAAAATATAATCAATTTGAGGTTAATATTTTACGCGTAGGAGTAATACTATTGGAAGTACGTCTACGCAGTTTCTAGATTTTTTTTATGATATTTGTTATTTGGTATGCACGATGTATACACGTAAAGATTTGTGTGCACATGATATGTTCCCATCATTACACACTTTATCCATACCATTTTACGTGTGTAAAGCTCGAATCCAAAATTTTAAAACTCGTGTTCACATTATAAAAACGTTTCAAATTGGGTTGAATTCGTAGAAATGATTTATTGTATATAGAAGCACTTTTTGCAAGTTTTAGACCATTTCTATATAGAGCCCACATATAAATTACCTATACCCATTGGATAATTTTCATACCCAATAGGTATGGGAAAGCTAATTATAAAATAGATATGGGTTACCCATACCCTCCCCAGTGACATCTAAAACTCCAATTTAAACTCGATGAAAAGATGAGGAATGTAAAGTAGACTTATTCCGTTGAAAAATGGCCGCTTGAAGCTGATGCGGCCCGTGTCACAGGCGGCAGCAGATGCCGATCGAGACCGAGCAGGAGAAGCCCATCTGTCCCGTTTGTTTCGTGCTGAACGCTCGCGTCGCGTAGCGTGCGATGAGGCCGTGGAAGTGGAACTGGGCTTGAATCAAGGACACCACCGTTGCAGGCCTCGCTGATATGGGTTTAGTTCGCAGGCCCACATAAAATAGGCAAAACCTCTTTCTTTTTCCCAGACAACAAAATGCTCTTTTGCACTAATAAATAACGGAAGCATGAAATTACATTTCAAATTGCTAGTTTTAATTAAAAAAACAAAAACCCTTCAAATTGCGCTTGCAAAGCCACCGATATAAAACGTGTTTGAAGAAAAGGTTTGGGAACCCTTTACGTGAACAAAAAAAAAACTCATTAGAGCATGTTTAATTAAGTATTAGCTAAAAACTTTAAAAATTAATTAATATGAATTTTTCTGAAGCAACATTTTTATAGATTTAAAAAAAGACGCACCATTTAGCTGTTTGGGAAGCTTGCACGTGAAAAAAGATAAGTTAAAAAAAAGGAGAGAAATGAACTCACCCCAAGTCTTGCTTATTTGCAATCTTAATGCTAAAGACAGTCTACATTGCCTATGCGCTGATAGTATCTCTAACAGAATATACAAATTAGACTATCCAAACACCTATACAGCTATATCTCCAATTGATTTGGTAAGCCAAAATCGTTGCTCACGCCAACAGCTTCTTCATCTACCCTCTCCACTCCAACCCATATGACACTGCAACCCATATGTCAGCCTCTAACATCTCTTCTTCTTCCTCCTATTTCTCCATTCTTCCTTTGCTTCCGCTGGGGCCACCCTGAGCTACTCTCCATCCCTCTCCCTCCGTGCGGCGACGATGTTTGTGTGATGGCGGATGGCGACAGCGGATCCGTGAGCGCGCTAGGCGGGGTGGCTGACGCGGATGAAAGGAAGGCCGTCAACAAAGCGCGATACCCATGCTATAGTGGCGCTTGAGCTCACTGACGTCCCGTACACTCCCCAACCCTGTCGTTGCCGTGGGCTTCCTCCATGCCAGCGGAGGCAAAGGCTGTAAAAATCGCCGTTGAGAGGAGACAACGAGAGCTGAGGGCCCCCGAGTCCATGCAGGGACGGAGGCTGTGAAGGTCGTGTGGGGTTGAAGACGGCAACGACAGAGTAGAGGCCACGGTGGCGAGGAGGTATGTGTAGGCTGCGACGGTGGAGTAGAGGGGGAGGTGCGGGATGTGGCGGTGACGATGGCGGTGGCAAACGATGAAGACAATGATTGTCTCGTTAGGGGGATTGCGAGCGGGAAACCATGGTGGCGAGGAGGTGCGCAGCGGCAAAGTTCCACTTGATCTGCATCGCAAGTGGGAGGAAAGATAATAGGAGGTAGTTAGACCCACATATGGCAAGTGTAGTTGGCTCACCAAGTTTGGTAAGTAAGGGAAGGAGTTTGTCCAGTCGGATAGCTTGAAGAGTGGGATGAAGAGAATGCAATTTTTATCCACTGTTGCTAAACTTTGGTTTGAAGAGTAAAATAGAAAGGCTGTTGAAGATGTTCTTACGCTGTTACACGTCCATGCCCATTTTTCTCTCTGTCAAGATTCACTGGTATGCTTACATCAATACACTTTTTCTTGTTATATGTTTGTTACCTTATTAGCTATAGCCAATATTTATTTTTTTAATTTAATTTTGAGTTTTTTTTACCATAATTTATTTTCTTCTTTGGCTTTTAAATCAACAAAGAAACATATACATAAAATTGCTATAAATCATTTTAATTTCTTTTCACTTTGTTCATTTTTGCAGGTAAAACGATCATAACAATGGAAAAATCATAGGGGAAAAAAAAGAAAAAGTAGAGTCGTGAGTGCATGATTCTATCCACGAAGACTGAAATTTTGGTGCTTACGAATATTACACACGTATAGATGATTTTTTAACAGGATTTTCATCTTTAGAGCATATGTTACGAGACGTATTCACGGGTGTGAGTGTGGTGTTATGCGTCTGCCATACAATCCAAAAAAAAAAACAAAAATCATGGAGTAAAAACCTGATTCACGAATCAACGGTGATGATAACGCGCAAGAACAAGGAATAAGTTCATCTAAGGTCCCTTAACTTATCAACGAATCCGATTTTCGTCCTTCAACCACAAAACCAGATACAACGGGTCCCTTAACTATCAAAACCGGTGCATATTAGGTCCCTCGGCGGTTTTGGCTGACGTGGCGCCTGCGTGGCTAATTTTGACTCGGTCTCGATCTGACGTGGTATGACGTGGCCCTTACGTGGCAATTTGACCCGGGAAAATAATAAACCCCGTGGGACCCACATGTCAATTTCACACACAAAAAAATTAATAATAATGGTGGAACCCACGCTGCCCCACATGTCAGTCTAACTCACCCCTCCTCTTCTGCTTCCTCTCTCTCTTTCTCTCCTCTTTTCATCTCTCTCTTGTGCTAGGGGATGCGGCCGGCGATGACGATGGCGGCGGAAATGGAGAAGAGTGACTGCCAGGGGCATAGGTGTGACGTCGCTGGGGGCGCTTTGAGGCGGAAGTAGACTCTTACGACGTGGCCGTCGGAGGTGAGCGAGGTCGTCATGGACTCACGGGATTGGCGGTGTCGTCGGCAGCGGTGGAGCAGGAGTTGTAGTTGGAGTCCTTGTCGTCGACCTCGAGTTCGTCAATGTGCTCGAGCATCACCCACCATTAGTAGTCGCCGGCGGCGGAAGGTAGCGCCGCCATCTCCTGTTGGGTTTCCATGGGCCGCGGCGAGCGGATCGATATGGGTTCCTCGTCAGTCCGGCCGGAACAGTGTTTTCTTGCCTAAAACAATGATCATTCATTCATTCATCAACCCCGTCATAACACAAGCAAATGATGATGACGAAGCAAAATATACTCTAGTCAGCTAGTACTAGTCGCTATTGCTTCTACCTTTGTATGATTAGGCACATAAACGCGGAGCGGAGGTCGTCGGCTTTGGTGCCCCAGCCGAGGCCGTGGACGAAGAGCTTCCTGCTCACGGGATCGGCCTCCGCCGTGCGCCGCACGGTCGTCATCATCACTGGGGTCGTCTTCGCAGTCGGCCGCCTCTCCCCTCTCCCGCCGGCGAGGTGGCCCCCTCACCCGCCCACGTGGACGGCCGCCTTCGAGGATGCGCGCGTGTGTCGGCCGGTCGGCGGGACACGTTCATCCCGCCGCCGAGGATGCCGAGGTCGACGTCAACATCGTCCGCAGCCACGGCCGCGGCGGCGCTGCCTCCGCCGCCGGGCTGGTTCCTTTCTCTCCGCTAGTTTCCCTCCCACCGGCCGCCGCGCCGCGCCCCTTCTCCCAGCCGGACACCGTCCTCTCCCCGGCGCCCGTGAACCGGAGAGAAGAGAAAGAGGAGAGGGGAGAGAGATGAAGACAGAGAAGATGGTGAAGAGGAGAATCAGAATGACCCAGCGCAAGAGAGAGACGAAGAGAGGGGAGGAGGAGAGAGAGGAAGCAGAAGAGGAGGGGTTAATTAGACTGACATGTGGGGTCCGCGTGGGTCCCACCATTATTATTATTATTATTTTTATTGTGTGTGAAACTGACATGTGGGTCCCACGGGGTTTATTATTTTCCGGATCGAATTGCCACGTAAGGGCCACATCAGTGCCACGTCAGATCAAAACCGAGTCAAAATTAGCCACGTAGGTGCCACGTCAGCCAAAACCGCCATTGAAACCGCCGAGGGACCTAATATGCACCGGTTTTGATAGTTGAGGGACCAATTGTATCTGGTTTTGTGGTTGAAGGACGAAAATCGGATTCGTTGACAAGTTAAGGAACCTTAGATGAACTTATTCCCAAGAACAATCGGTACGATCCAACGGCCCAGAAACCACCGCATCGCACCGGACCAGCCCAACCATTTCGTCGAGCACCTCACGCACGCGCTCCCCTCCAAGCCCTAAACCCATTCCCCACCACCATGCGAGCCATCGGCGCCGCCGCCGCCGCCGCGAGGCGGCACGCGCACCTCCCCACCTCCTACTCCGCCGCCTTCTCCTCCTTCTCCGGCATCGGCGGCGGCGCCGGGCGCGGGCGTGGGCGCGGCCTCCCGCCCTCCGCGACGCCGCCGCGCGCCCCCGGTAGCCCCGTCCCGGACGACGACGACGGCGGCGGCGCGGATCCCTTCTCCTCCCCGGCCCCCATCGGCCGCGGCCGCGGGGAGGCCGTGATCCCGTCGGTCTCGTCGCCGCCGCTTCCCGGCGCCGGCCGCGGCCGTGGATCGCCGCCGCCCCTCGGTGAGGTCGCCCCCAAGCAACCGGTCCCCGCCAAGCTGTTCGACGCGCCGGCCGCCGAGGCCTCGTCCTCCGAGCCACCGCCACCGCCGCCGCCGCGCACGCTCCCTTCCGCTGGCGCTGGCCGCGGCGTGCCGCGGATGCAGCAGCCGCCAGTGGAGATGCCGCAGGAGGAGAACCGATTCATCCGACGCCGCGAGGAGAAGAAGAAGGCCGCGTCGGCGGCGCGTCCCGCTCCCAGCGGGCAGCCGAAGCTGTCGCCCGAGGACGCCGTGAAGCGCGCCATGGAGCTCCTGGGCGGTGGCGGCGACGACGATGGCGGGCGTGGCGGCAGGGGTCGTGGTGCCCGTGGTAGGGAGCGCGGGCGCGGCAGGGGACGTGATGGCGGCCGCGGCCGCCGCTCTGCTGATATGGAGGAGAAGCATGGGATCTACTTGGGGGACAATGCCGATGGCGACAGACTCCAGAAGCGGCTCGGCGAGGACAAGATGAAGATTTTTAACGAAGCGTTTGATGAGGCCGCAGATAACGCGCTGCCAGACCCGAAGCAGGATGCATATCTGGAGGCTTGTCACACCAATAACATGGTCTGTGCAGCAATGCGGTTGAATCCGCAAAATTGTTAGAGTTGTTAGATCTGGCCGTTCATGCAAGGTTCCTGAATTATTTGTTTCCTGTGGGTTTATGTATGCAGATCGAGTTTGAGCCAGAGTATCATGTGAATTTCAATAATCCAGATATCGAAGAGAAGCCACCTATGTCATTGGAGGATATGCTACAGAAGGTGAAGCCATTCATAGTTGCGTATGAGGGCATCCAGAACCAGGAGGAATGGGAGGTGATTTCTTTGATGGACCTTGTACTATATTATTTTTCTCCACAGAAATGTTTGTGCGAGTAGATGTTTTGGTACATATGTTCTCTTGCAGCATTGAGGAACCAGATTGCATTAGAAAATGCCGGAGAAAGCCTGCATAAATAGTGTAAATGATACTTTGTTTTTCCAGCAATAGGATTATAGCATGCTCAACGGGTGCAACGCTGCAAGTCTATAGTTGGATGGCATTAGAATCCTAGCTGCATTATCAAGTTTTCATAAATAAACTGATGAACTCGAGCATGTTAATAGACTTGTTCCCTGTTTGGAATAATCATTCAGCCTGATTGAGGCTTCAGAAATAATTCTAATGAGTTTGCAGATGCATATTGCTGTGGTACGTAAGTATGTTCACAGCCAGATTGGCCTAGCTTTGCACTGATATACCTAGATCGGGCTGAAAATGATATTAGTAGATTTTGTGTTGTTTCACCTTTCAGAACATGTTATTTGGTAAGCTGATTTATGCATTACAAATGGAGCGGATATAAGGTTTATACAAAGGATTTATTATCTTTGTTGCATGAACGCTGTCCAGCTGATTACTTAGTAATTGTGCCTGCTCCTTTCTGATGAGGTTAAACTGTAATCTCCAGATAAGTTTCAACTTGTTCTAAAATCCAAGTAAAGAGGGACTGTTGGCTACGTTAGATTAGAGATTTTAACAGGATTGGGTCATTCTAGCTTTTATGTATTTCCTGCAGTCCTGGACTTATTGAACTAAAAGAATATCTATTATTCCGCTTCCATGTTTCTGCTAATCAGCTTTAAGTCCCTGTTTGGAAATTCCTGTATGACACCACATTAGACACTTGTCTCATAGGCTTCTACTATTACATGAACCAGTACATGCTTGAACTTGCAGCTGTATTCGCCTTGCTGCTAAAATGAGTTTTTTTTTTTTTGGTGATGTATACAACTGACCCAGTATAATGTACCGTATCACTAATAGGAAGCTGTGAAAGATGTAATGGCAAGGGCACCCCATATGAAGGAGCTGATAGATATGTACAGTGGCCCTGATGTTGTAACTGCAAAGCAACAAGAAGAAGAGCTGCAAAGAGTGGCCAACACTCTCCCAGGAAATATACCCTCTTCAGTAAAGCGGTTTACTGATAAAACTCTACTGTCTCTTAAGGTTTGTTTTCTTGTTATAATTGATGCTCTGAACAGTATACACATTTTTATAGAGAACATTATTCATAATATTAATGGTCTGATATTTGAATGTTGTCATCTTTATAATTCAACTTCTGATTTCTGAATCTCCAGTGGTGATAGAATAACACAATTCCTGTCTAATTTTCTAACTTGATAGACATGTGAAATTATAGTATCACCCTTTCTAAGCTTGCTTTCAAAAATAGAGCTGTATTCAATTAGCATTTGAAATTTGAATTCTAGCTACACAAATGATCAATTTAGCTTTTTTTAATGCAATGTATCTACAATTTAATGGTTCGTTCCAACCATCAAGGCATAAAGTCCCTCTGTAGTCTGACATGCCCTGTGGTCTGGTCTTACTAAGCTAGTTCTATAACATGTCTGTGTTTATCATCACTTGCCATCTGAGATGATATATTTGATAGTTTCTTATCCTATTGCTCTCAAAGATGGCGAAGTGCACATGCTTTAAGTTGGCTAGTTCACCTGACTGAAGTACTCTACATGTTGGAGATTCTGTTATCATCACATGTGCAAAATTTACCATACTGGTTGTCATCATCTTGTTTGATAAAATATTTTCATAGCCATTAGAACTTTTTACCTGTATTCATATTACAAAAAGAAGTCTGGAGACCCTGTTCAGTGTGTTTATGTATTCCTATTTGTTTCACCTTCCTTTGAAGAAACACAAGGTGCTGCTTATTGAGATGAATTCGTTCTTGTTTCTCCTTATATCTTTTGCAGAACAATCCAGGCTGGGGTTTTGACAAGAAATGCCAATTCATGGACAAGTTTGCTCGTGAAGTTTCAGAGCTATACAAATAGAAAACTCCCATACACTGTTGTAAGATCTCACTTAGCCCCAGGAAGATTTTGTGGTTTATTTTTTCTATTTTGAGAAAAGTGAGGTTTTCTTTAGTCTGTGCACTTCTTTTCCTTTGTATTGGTATGCTAATTAGATAAATAAAATCACTGATAAACATGTACATTTCTTTTGGGAGATGTTTACTTGGGTGCTCTAGTATGAGATCTGCTATGATCTCAGCCCTTCAATTCCTGGGCCATCCAAACAACGCTGATTGCAACTCCCCTACCCTTTTTGTTAATATTTTAAGTTCTTAAGGTGCTATATCGACTGGTCATATTTTGAATTGACCATGGGGTTGATCTGATTCCTGCCTCATTTTTATATTTGGGGTAGTCTAGCAATAGATGGAATTTTGTGCTCAAGGCCAGCTCTCTGCAGGGAGTGCTCCTTCAGTTAGCAAGTAATGGAAATGTTTCCAACAAAACCTAATCTGGTAATAATGTCCTGCCCAATAAGTGCCACTGAAGAAGAAGGTTTTATGATCACTCCACATGGCCCTGATCAAGAATCTTTTATTAGATACTTGGCCGTCGGCCGATATCATAGCCCACAAGAAAACCAGCAAGTGATCAACTCTCTTATCATGGATTTCTGAAAACAAGAGCCTGGTGTTTTCAGGAAAGCATGCCAAAACAACTCCAAATAGACAGAAACACCTTATTTTATGGTTTTTGATACACCGCCATCCATATTTTTCTTAATATGGTTATCTATGACTATGATACACCGCCACCTGTATTTTTCTTTTCTAAAAATTCTGTGTGTATTGTATTGTATGTCGTTCCACATGAGAGCAGAAATGCCTACCTAGCTACTTCTCTATTGCTCAATCACTGTGGCTCGGTACAAACCATTTCTTTTACTATACAAAAATGAAGCTAAAATCATTGGAAGCACACTTAAGTATCTGCTGAGTATGGTCTGGGATCACCATAACTAGTTCCCTTGAACTCATAGCCCATCTTTGTATCAATCTCTTCACAAGGTATATAGCTAACCAAATTCTCCATCAAATGGCCAGGTCCCTAGATCACAGACATTTTAAGAGATCACTTATTAGCTTATCTGGTATTAAATTTAGGGCACAATTGTGCAATTGTATTGGTTGGGAGTAAATTGCTGGAGTTACCTTAAGCCTCTGAATCATGCTGTCGAAGGGGTTGGTTCTCGTTGTTCTGGCTGTCAAGCGGCATGTACTGGGACATGATGGCCATGATCTCCGAGTCCATGTACGACTGCACAAATCACATCAAACATTTTTCTTTTTCAACATCACATACTTGCAACAGTTTCAGTTTAATTATATTCCTTTTCTTGTTAGAAAAAAACATACCCTGAGTCTGTACTTGTAGAACACATAGCCGGCAATCCCCACGCCGGCTACGCACGACGCCACCAATATAGTGATGAACCAGCCGAACCTTGACATGCTGTTGGCTGCATTATAAACCCAAAATTTAGCTATGTTTCATATTTTCATGTCGAAAAGCAAAGTGTTTCATGCCATCGTCACATGAAATTGGAACTATCTTCATCCGTTTCATAATATAAGACTTTTTAACATTGCTCACATTCGTATAGATGTTAATAAATTTAGACACGTGTGTGTCTAGATTCATTAACATCCATATAAATGTGGGTAAATGCTAGAAAGTCTTGCATTATGAAATGGAGGGAGTAGATTTTTATGTGATGTATTATCACCTATGCATGTGTCCTCTCCTCTTATGTAGATCTGGTTGCCCTTGCACTTGCACTCGTAGTTGCCCCAGGTGTTCTTGCAGTGGCAGTTAGGGCAAGTGCACGCAAGCTTCTCCTTGCATTCATCCAAATCTGAAAGGGTAACACATGGAGCACAGAATTTTGTTCAGTATTTCATCAGTTCTGTTAATCTACACCCACCACTACTAGCCCATCAATCACTTGATAGTCCAGTAGTAATTGTATGCCAATATGTCAGTTTCAGAAGTTATTTTTCTTCAGAGAAGTTTCAGAAATATGTTTACCTTCACATTTGTGGCCATCTCCTTGGAAACCCGGGGGGCATCGGCATCCAGTCAATGCAGTGTCCTATGAAATTGTGCAGAGAGTGATTAGCAAAGATCATAACAAACAACGAGAGGTTTTTCTGCAAGTGAAGGCTAGAGAGTTACAGAGCAAGCAGAGAACGTCTGATGACCCCTAGTCTCTGACCAGCAGCCTCCGTTGTCCACCGTACACCTGCCTGGCCCAACAGCTGAAACAAAAAGAACAAACATGCAATTACATTAAAATTCAAAACATGGTGAGCCTGAAATCGAGGTTCCTTTGGAATGCATGAATTTTACAGAATTTTCATGGCCTATCGACCAACTATACCTTTGCAACCGATGTACCCGTCGCCCTCGTACTGGACGCCATTCACCACTGGGCACTCGCACACCCTACCCCTGAACGTGTCCTGCGTATTGTTGTGAACACGACGCCAGAAAAAATCAGATTAAAAAAGCTTTATCGATATCAGACAATTACATCGAGATGATACAATTAATCTATAAAACCATGTAGTACCTTGCAAGCCGTAACGTTGGTTTTCTCGTCTCTCCAGCAACCGCCGTTCCTGTGCAGGCACTCGTTCGTCTCGATATCTACAGTTGAAGAAATGAAAACAGAGATTTCATTAGAATTTCATTCCAATTTTTCAGAATTCCACGAAACAAAACAATATGTTTCTCTGCGTTTTCTACGCACCATTGCTCAAGCAGACGCGAGGTTCAGTGCCCTCCTTGAAGCCGGCACAGACAGCTTTCAGCACGGCCGTCCTCTCCAGTTTCCCTTCATTTTTCACAACCATTTTTGTTTTTTTAATAATGGAATGTAACATCTATGTCTTTACTCAAAGAGCTACAGTTAATTATTACAGAAAGCTATTTTTATTGTTGTTAGGAATCTCTAATCAGCTTCAGTGTTTGCAAGTAACTAATTTGTTCTTAATTATCATTCTTGGCGAAAGAGATGTGCCAACCAACCTCTGTACTGGACGTTGTTGATGACGAGAGTAGGCAAGATGGTCACATCCCCTCGCGATCCACGGCCAATCTGATCAAAGGCACCAAAACCACCGACGTTAATGGCTTAACACATCATGTAATGCAAGAGACCTGCGAGATTGTGACTGGCCAACATCTCTGACACCTGAAGATTAAAACGCTAAAAAAAATTCTTCTCCTAATGACACCATGAACAGTATAGTTTCAGTCACTTTGCATATATACCTGATCTTCCTGCTCTTTGGCCAAGACGGCGTTGTCGGTGTCGGCCTCTGGATCGCCCATACATTCCAGCACCTTGTCAAGCGACAGACCTAAGGAAAGAAAAAGGTCAAGAACAAAAGAACATTTGCTATTATAAAAGCACCAAATTCAAATTATAGTGTCTACAGATAATACGCATGTGCGGATATGTTTTTAATACGGAGTTAGGAAAGTGGATCTTTTTTAAAAGTTACATATGAACAATTGCACATATGTTTTTAATATGGAGTTAGGAAAGCGGATCTTTTGGAAAAGTTACATATGCAGTATGTTTTTAATATGGAGTTAGGAAAGTGGATCTTTTCTAAAAGTTACATATGCACATACTACATCCGTTCTAAAATATAGTAACCGACGCATCCTAGTATTCATATTTATCCAGATTTATAGTAGTAAGATGTGTTCAATTCAGCTTTAGTTTGATACACGAAACGATTTAACTATTTTTTGATAAAAAATATGACGTCATAAATATAAACCACTCCCATTAGTGAATTTAAGTACTTTTTGCTGGCCTCTATATCTTTGTAGACATACTCAAGGTACATGCGTGTGATATGCATAATACTCCCTCCTTTTTAAATTGATCATCATATAAAGAAATCTAAATTTTCTTAAATTGATCATCATATAATTGCATGGACATGAATTTCATCGGAATACAATTAATATAGCATGGGAGAATCTGTACATACTAGGGTGTAATTGATATGGTGTTTTAATCGATACATACATTGTGAGAGAATGTGTATATGATGTCTTGATTGATGCAATTTAAATTATCCTTGATCTTGATGCATAAGCATATATGATGATCATTTTGGGATGGAGGGAGTATAATACTCAAGGTGCGTCTTTCGTGTAATGGCAAATTAGAGCAAGTAACGAAGAACGATGAACTGATCGATGAGCATATGCACACTGAATGTATGGTACCATGGATCTCATTCTCACCTAGGGCCTTGACGACGTCCTCGGCGCAGCCCTTGCTGTACTTCTTCTCCTTCATGGAGCACCTGATCTTGTAGTCCATGACGTAGTCCCACCACGCCCATGGCCGCCCGGTCTCGTTGGCCACCCGGTGCACGCACAGCTGCCTCAGGTTCTCCACCACCACGTCCTTCCCCTCGTACCCCTCCCCGAAATCCTGCTCCGGGTCCGGCGCACAATACCTGCACGCACCCATCCTCACCGGAGCTCGATCAACCACTCCATCGATTCATGGCGCATGATGGTGTCCCCACCGGAGACGAAGAAGAGGATACTATGATACTCTTTCCGTTTTTCAGTTTTTCAGTGTATGACGTCGTTAACTTTTTTTTATATGTGTTTGATCATACACCTTATTGAAAAAAAAATGTAATCACCATTTATTTCATTGTAACTTAATTTGTCGTCAAATGTTTTGTAATTAAGCATGTCTTAATTTTTTTAGGCAAAATTGGTTATATAGCATCGAAAGTTCACATTTTTGGTTTTATAGCACCGAAAGTTACCGGTTCACTTTAATAGCATCCAAAGTTCACCATGTTCCTATTTTTAGCACTTCCGTCAATTTTTCCGTCCGTCTTGATCGTTATTGATCGCCACACACATGATATGACATTTCTACCCCTCATTGACATACATTATACTTATACTTGTGAGGGGTACAAACGTCATATCGTATGTGTGGCTGGATCAAGACGGACGGAAAACGATCGAGAATTGACGGAAGTGTTAAAAATGGGAACATGGTGAACTTTGGGTGTTCTTAAAGTGAACCGGTAACTTTCGGTGCTATAAAACCAAAAACGTGAACTTTCGATGTTATATAACCAATTTTGCCTTTTTTTTATTTGCATAATTTTTTTTAATAAAATGAATGGTCAAAAGTTTGTAAAAAAAAAGTAACAATGTCCAATATTTTTTAAAAAAGAGGTACTTCATATTATAAGTAGTCTAAGTTTAACCAAATTTATAGAAAACTTAGCAACATTTCCGACACAAAAGAAAAATATTATCAATATACATAAATGTTAGTTTTAGTGAAACCAATTTGGTGTTGTAGATGTTACTAATTTTTCTATAAACTTAATCAAATTTAAGTTTGGATATAAGAAAAGTGAAAACGACGTAATAATAATATAAAATGAAGGAAGTATGATTAAAAAAAAAGAAATCGAAACGATTTATAATCTGAAACGAAGGAAGTCACTTGCCTGCCATGGTTGATGCACTGGGACTTGCACTGCTGGGTGAGCTTGAAGGCCTCGGGGCAGTACCAGGTGATGTAGTGCGGGGTGAAGAGGGCGTAGCCACCTCTCTCCATGATCTGGGCGTGGCCGCGGAAGCCGCGGACGAACTCCATCTGCTCGTCGCACCGGGCGCCGCACTCGTCGTTGCTGTTGGTCCACAGCTCGTACTCCACCCGCTCGTCGGGGTGGGGCATCGACTCGCGCCAGTCCAGCTTCACCACCACCTCCACCGCCGCCTCTGACGACGGCGACGGCGACGACATCCTCTTGAGGGACTCGCCGAACGCGCGGTTGACCAGCGCGGACGGGATGCTGATCCGGTCGATGTACTCCGTCTCCGGCGACTCCTCCGGCGTGTCCATCGTCAGCAGCTGCTCGTCCACGTTGTCCGCGATCAGCACCGCCGCCGCGCCCGCCTGCTGCGCGTTCCACGCCTTCAGCGCGAAGTAGCACTCTGAATATCAACAAACGGAACAGTTTGTCAGGCTCACATACATACAGGGGGCGTAAGTGGCTAACCCGGCGTAAGCCCACTTATAGGTCAAAATAAACGGGCTCGTGGTTTATTTTGATTTACTACAGTGGATTTCGCGGGTTGGTCACTTACATCCCACATAGTCATAGTATGTAAGGTTATCACCGACAAAAGAAATTAAACCATAATGTTTATTAGCGATTAAAAATAATTTATTGGTAAATTTTTTATATACATGTTCTTAGCGATTTAAAAGTTAATGCTGAAAAATAAATTACGGTAAAAAATAACCAAAATATACTTAAAATAAAGATTTAAAATTCAAATAGTTGACTGATAAGTTAAAGAATAAAAATTCAAACGATGAAGCTGATTATCTGCATTAAAAATATTAAAATTGCTTCTTCTTTATTGCAACTAAAATGCACTGAATTGAGTGAGAATTTCAGTATATTAGTACAGAATAAGTGGGTCAATTTGCAATTCCTATTTCATAATCTGATGGTAAAAGTGTCCTGGTGCAGAGTTCAGAATCTGATGGAGAGTGGCTTGGAAACGAAGGATGAACAGGTTGTTCAGTGCTGCCTTTGGCTTGAAGGAATTGAGAGACACCTGCTGATTGGTAGTGGAGGAGTTGTGATCAAGTGCGTTGCAGTGGTTGGATCAAATACCGAATCAGGTATGAGATTCAAAATTCAAAGTTGCAATGGATAAATGTACGGCATATGTATCAAGAACCTATTCTCGCTTTCCTTGGTTCAGAGTTATCTGAAACTCTGACGGAAAGAAAGGAACAAACTCGTCGAAATGCTTAAAGTTGAGCCGAATCCCGAAAGTAATTAAACTAAGTGTGTGTTTGAATCTTATAAGTAGTGAATAAGAAGTGGTTAACATGTCTTCAATAATGGCTCTGAACTAAGATTCCGTCCTAGTTATTGGTATTATGTTAGGTAGTATTCTGCAATATTGGACTTGTTTTTCCAGGCGAAACAAACAAAACAATTTGATTCAGAGTAAGTGATCTCAGTTCTCAAACAATTTCAAAAATAAATTAAAAAGTTTTGGTCTACCATCGTTCAACTCTGCTTTCAGAACTGAATTATAAATTCCCTTCCCTCGCCACAATAAAAAAAATATATATGAATGCAATCTTTCAGACTTCTAAAGTTGGACAACAATCCACATCAAAGAATTAAAATACTATACAACTTAACCATCATGCCTACCTTGATACTCTCTTGCTAACCATTTCTTTTGTTGTTTTTTTAATCAGTGGACTAGCTAACCATTGGATTGACACAACCCATTAACAGAACAAAAATTGGCATGACTTAGAACATTGGAATCAAATCATCACCAAACCAAACTCTCAAAATCCAAATAATCATCAAAAACTAATACTACTTCTCAAGTTTGTTCAGTTCAGACTTGCAGACTTTGGAACACAAATTTCTTGAAAAATACTTATGCAAATCAAAACAAGCACAAACTAATTGAATCAATCATTGGAAGTTTGAAATCAATCTCCTACCTCCACGGTCGAGCAGGAGGATGACCGGGCGGCGAGACTTGGACTTGAACTTGGCGTCGAACTCGGCGCAGCCGGTGGCCTTCTTGTCGGGGTAGACGACGACGCCGGTGAGCGTGCCGCCGTAGTCCGGCACGCCGAAGTTGCCGATGGCGGCGTCGTGGTGCCCCCGGATGTGCTCCGGCGAGAGCACCCTCACGCTGCTCTTCTCCACCACGAACCTCCCCATCGCCGGCACGGCGGCGCCCACCACCGCCACCACGACGACGATCAAGAACGGCACGGCCCCAATCCCGGCGAGCCATGGCGCCCTCCTCGCCATTGCTGCAACTCGATCACCTCTCTCTCTCTCTCTCTCTCTCTCTCTCTCTCTCTTTCCAAGAGGCGACGAGAGGAGGAGGGAAGAAGACGACTTCAAAGAAGAAGAAGATGATGAAGCTTATGCTTGGTGGGCACCAAGATTAGGTGGCTCTCGCTCGCAAGTAGTATAAATTAAATAGAAATTTAAGGAAAAAAATGTTCTTGCTGTTAATTAACAACTGTGAGACGAGCTCAACCGTGCAAAGGGGAATGGATGGATGGATGAAAAAAAACAAAGGATATCACGAGAAGAAGATGAAAAAATTGTGATCTTTTGAGAGGAAAAAATAAATGGGATTGGATTGCTTGGGTTGTACTGAAATCCGTTTGGTTCGAGAGGGGCAAAGGTGTCAACTTTTGTGACGTAGAAGAGAAGGTGAGAGGAGGAGAGGTGTGAGGCAGCATCCAACTACTAGCAGATGGGGTGGTATATAGAGTAGGAGCGCGAAAGCGACAATTTTTTTTTGACAAACTGATGAACTGGAAATTTTGGAATTGAGACTGTTTTGAGATGAAATTCACTTGGGGATTATTAATTGATGATGCTTTCATGATGTTAAGAGTTGGAGTAATATCTACAAGATGAGGTCAACATGACCCTGACCTGTTCTCTGATGATAGAAAAACATTTTTTTTCCAGGATGCAGGTATCTATCAGAACTGCTGCTACACGCCGGGGCGGGCTCACATCAAGAATGCTTACTTGTAATTGCAGCAAAAACAAGGAAAAACAAGGGAAAAATAATTAATTAATTTTGCATGTCTGATGGTTCACAAGTTCGATCATATTGTCCATATGGAATATATGCCTTGTAGTGATACGATATTTCTTCAGATGTAACACTGCACTTGTTCTGAAACTATATTATTTGAGGGGGTGTTATGTGGGTGATTGCTTACCTTAATGGACACATCATGCCCAACTAAAATCCGTCTCTGAACTTTCAATTTCTTGTTGAGGACACAGTACGTACTTGCATTGCTTGCTTCAAAGACAACTCTTGTCTGAGAGAGAGAGGAGATCCAGCAGCAGTGTTCTGCAATTCTATGCGTATGGTAGAAGGGAAAAGATCAACACACTTCCTAGTCTGTTCTTCTGGATGGGCATATTGCAGGAATTGTGTGGATTTCATCAGAAACAATAGGTGAAAAATGTTGTTTTTTTTCTGGTAAAAAGGGTCGCTTTGGTAATTAACTTGGTCGGCTGAGTCTTGATCGGGTTTGGTCTCCTGTTATTAGTGCAACCGGGCAAAGCACGGCAGGTTAGAGTCGAGACTGACCGATTCTTCAGTGGACACGAGTGGGTTGACGGTCACGCGTGCTCGTTGGGTTTGGGTTTGTACTGCTCCGTATTCACTATCTATTGACATTTTAGGAAGACTTGCAAAAAGTGATAGTATACTACTACCTCCATCCCAAAATATTTGACGCCGTTGACTTTTTTAAAAATATTTGACCGTTCGTCTTATTCAAAAAATTTAAGTAATTGTTAATTCTTTTCCTATCATTTGATTTATTGTTAAATATATTTTTATGTATACATATAGTTTTACACATTTTACAAAAGTTTTTGAATAAGACGAACGGTCAAACATATTTAAAAAAGTCAACGGCGTCAAACATTTAGGGAAGGAGGGAGTAGTTGCTGAGTTGAGTTAGGAACTCCACCTCCACATACGGAAAACAAATATTATTATTAACACATGATTAATTAAATGTTAGTCTAATAAATTTAAAAAAATGGATTAATATGATTTTTAAAACAACTTTCTTATAAAAAAACTTGTGAAAAAAAAACATATCATTTAGCAGGTTGAATAAACGTGTGGGCGGAAAAAAAAGTGTGTTGGGAAAGAAGGACGACCATAGCCTTAAAGGAGATTTTCTTCCTTCTTTCTCAACTTATCTCCCTCGTTTTCTATGCGCGTGCTTTTCAAACTGCTAAGCAGTGTAATTTTTTTTTAAAAAAAGTTATATACGGAAGTTGCTTTAGAAAATCATATTAATCTATTTTTAATGTAAGCCAGCTCTCTTGCACACTGCTATTTCTAAAAGTCTGGTCTCATTCTAAATGTTAGGATTTGAGTTTAAGATTAATTTTTAGTGGATTTTTTCGGCGCTCTTAAAAAAATTCTACCTAAACTTATTCTCAACAATCACATTTAAAAATGTTAGCATTTGAGAAAAAGCATTGTCAAGCGACGCCAATGTTCTAGGTATGATTCCTTATAATGATCGAATGGTAGATTTTTAGATATTTTTTTAAGAATGGTTCTAACTTCGAAATTTAATTTTAGGTCTAGAATGAAATTTTGAAGTTACCTAAACGCAGCTATGCCTATCTAATTTATTTTGTGAGAGCTCTTCAGCCAACTCCATTCTATTTTTGAGTGAAGTTTGGTTAAGCTTATGATCTAAGAGTGATGGAGCTGAAGATAAAGCCGTGCAAAACGGGCCTAAATATGTCTTAAAAAATACTACAATGAAACGTCTTATTAAAAAATAAAATAAAATTTTGTAATATATTTTTCCAATTTTTGCAATGAAACGTGGAGGGCAATATCCACACGAGCCACGCATCATCCAGCAACCAACCAACCACTACTACCACTGGCTACACTATGCCGTTATCCTCTCTCTCCCTCCTCCCCCTCCACCGCGCTCCGCTCCCGCCAACTTCAAATTACCCGCCACCGCCGCCTCCCTCTCGCGCCCTCCTCCTCCCCCTCCTCCGCCACTCGCCGCTCGCGCGCCGCTCGCCCGTCTCCCGGGCGCGTGCCGTAGCAGCCGACGGCATGGCCGCGGCGACCGCGGCGGCGGAGACGCCGCCCACGCTGCTCGAGTACATGGGCCAGGCTGGCGCGGCCGACGACCTCGTCGTCCTCGTGGCGCACGTCCAGAGCGCGTGCAAGCGCATCGCCGCGCTCGTGGCGTCGCCCGGGAACGCCGAGCTGTCGCGGGGGAAGGCGGGGGGTGGTGTGGCGGTGGCGGCCGGGCGGGACGCGCCCAAGCCGCTCGACGAATTGTCGGTGCGTGCAGTGTCAGGGTTGCGTGGGTTATTATTGTCTGCATTCTGGTTCTCGCATCTATCTACATGCATTTCATCCTTCTTCTTTTTTTTAAAAAAAAAAGAATAGGTCCATTTTTTGTGAGATTGTTATCACATCTCAGTCATACGCTTAGCAGCTGGAGTAGCACTCATTTGGAGTGTAAAATGTTCATTTACTAATTAAGTTTACTTGAGGTAAGTTGTGCAAAGTGCACACAAGAGACTTTCCCCACATTTTCATTCTTGCATTCTCAACAAAATACTACTTGCATTTGTGGTGAACCATCAACAGAAGCACTTCCTATTTGCAAAAAAAAACAGTTATTGTTTGTCTGATGCTACTAACTTGCATTATAGCTTCCAACAACATCAAGACTAACATATTTTTCAATTTAGAATGAGATCATCTTGTCATCACTCCGAAGATCTGGAAAGGTTGCAGTGATGGCTTCTGAAGAAAATCATCTCCCCATTTGGGTTTCCAACGACAGCCCGTATGTTGTTGTTACGGATCCGCTTGATGGTTCTCGCAACATTGAGGTATCCATTCCCACCGGAACAATATTTGGGATATACAATAGGCTGGCAGAGCTTGACCATCTACCTGAAGAGGAGAGAGCTCAGCTCAATTCACTGCAAAGCGGCACTCACCTTGTCGCTTCGGGGTATGTGCTGTATTCATCTGCCACCATATTCTGTATCAGCTTCGGTGCAGGTACCCATGGCTTCACCTTGGATCACTTGACTGGAGAATTTGTTCTAACACATCCTTCCATCCAAATACCCCCAAGAGGTAACTAATAAGCTGTAATTCAATAATTTGCTAATTCCCTTAGTCTTCATTAAATGTTAACCAGATGTCACCTAAATTCACTTACACTAGTAGCGCAAGTTTTCTCAATTTATGGATTGGTGGATGAACAGTTTATCAATGTCAGTAATTTGAGGAGATGTTTTAGTTGAACAGCGGCAAGAGTGCTTGCATTGTGTTTGAGAACATGACGTAGAGAAATTTCTTATAACTGAACGACTGAAATATTAACTGTGTTGAACTTAGAAATGCATGCTTTCATCTTTGCTGAAAAGCTGTAATCCTGAGCTATGCCAGGACAGATATATTCGGTGAATGATGCGCGGTATTTCGACTGGCCTGAGGGCCTAAGGAAGTACATTGACACGATCAGACAAGGCAAGGGACAGCATCCGAAGAAGTACTCGGCACGGTACGTGTGCTCGCTGGTTGCTGATTTCCACCGGACGCTGATATACGGTGGAGTTGCCATGAACCCCAGGGATCACCTTCGGTTGGTCTATGAAGCAAATCCTCTGAGTTTCCTTGCTGAGCAGGCAGGGGGCAGGGGTTCAGATGGCAAGAGCAGAATCCTCTCGATTCAGCCTGTGAAGCTGCACCAGAGGCTGCCATTGTTCCTGGGAGGCATGGAGGACATGCTTGAGTTGGAAAGCTATGGAGATGTGCAACAGAAGGTTAATCCTGGATATGAGGTGTGAAGATATATAACCTTAGATAATGAGGTCTGAAGATAATGTAGCATGCGAAAAGAGAACAGGGGGACCTACTGGAGAACTCTGTATTTGCAAAACCGATGTTTTTACCTGTCAGGTTTTCTGTTTTTGTCTCCGCGACTATGCGGTTTCACTGTGTAATATAGCAGAAAAATTAGGCTGCATTTCTCCCGGTACGAAATGGAAGGGACAACACAAATTTATATGTAATGCATCCTTTGGCTACATGGACACTTTTATCTGCAACGTGTTCTGAAATTTCTTTTGTCTCTGCAGTCTGTACACTTCTCTGCAATGTGGTCCGGTTAGTTCGATTTAAGAGCAGCAATAAGAGTAACTTTTACTATGAACCCTGCAACTTTGTAAAGCCCTTGCTTACTATAGAACTTGGTGTGATTAGCCTTCAGTTGAACTGGTCCTACCTATGAGGACAACCTGCAGCCAAATTGCTGTTCTTATTAGGCAGTGTAAAGAGCTCTCTTATCCTGAACTTGAACTGTTTTTCTCAGGCAGGCTGGCTGACGGAACAATCAAAACTAGAGGGCATTTCCGGACGTGTGATTGCGATGAGACGTGTTGCAATATCCAGACCAGTGGCTAGACGTGTTAATTTTAACTTGATGAAACGTAAAGAAGGCTGGATCCAAACTTTAATTCTTTTCCATCACATCAACCTGTTATACACACAATTTGTTATACACACACAATTTTTCAGTCCAAAATTTACGCTGAACTAAAAACAGCCGAAGTTTGAGTTGGAAAAAAACTTTATTTGGATTTGTTGTGATATGCCCATTAAACAACTTAACCAAGCGATTAAAGACTGCTGCTATACGTGTGATCCAGTTGTATGATTTATGTATAATTAGAGATATACAATCATATAATTAGAGACACCGTCCATTTTTGTCCATGTGTCATAAGCATAGCAATTTTCGGTGATTAATCGCTAATCGACTAAGGCGATCACATCAAATATTTAGACACATGCACGGAGTATTAAATATAGAAAAAAAATAATTATATAGATTGCGTGTAAATTGTGAGACAAATCTTTTAAGCCTAATTGCGCCATGATTTGATAATATGATGCTACAGTAAACACTTGCTAGTGACGGATTAATTAGGCTTAATATTTTATCTCGTAGTTTGCAGGCGGAATATGTAATTTATTTTGTTATTAGACTACGTTTAATACTTTAAATGTGTGTCCGTATATCTGACGGAGCACACACAAACTTTTCACCTGAACTAAACAGTGCCTAATTTATCGGACTAATCGGCCGTTTTATTGCGTCCATGAAACAAAAACCGTTCTGAACTGCCTCGACTCCCGTCTCCTCGCCGGAAAGCCGCCGCCGCCGCCGCCCTTCTACTTCCGCCGCCTCCTCCTTCTTCTCGAGAAGGCTCTGCACCACAGACGAGAGCTGAGCCGCGGAGCACAATGTCGGCGGACTCGGCGGCGGCGGGGAGGGACGCTCTCCTGGACGAGCTGCGCGCGCTCATGGCGGCCCACTCCCCGTCGCTCCACGCGCTCGTCGTCCCGTCCGAGGACGCCCACCAGGTCCGTCCGCGCCCGCTGCCACCTCCCGCGGAGTCGATCAGATCAGATCGGGCTTGGATTTTTGTTGTTGTTGTTGTTGGATTTTCCGTTTTGCGCGATCTCTTCTTCCTCTCGATGATGGTTGAGGATTTGGGTGTGGTTTTGTGGGTGATTGATTGATTGATTGCAGAGCGAGTATGTGTCGGAGCGGGACAAGCGGCGGCAGTTCGTCTCCGGCTTCACCGGGAGCGCTGGTATGTTGCTTCCTCAATTCATCCCTTCTCGTTTCCCAGGCGATGAACGCTGTGTATTGTCCTAGACCACCAGCCGATGAGTCTGTTGCGATGAGTTCATTATACAATAGTGCAATTGGATTATGCAACGTTGTTCAGGGTTGCAATTTTTACCATTTTGGTGATACACAAAGTGGAGTTCTTTTTGCTCTGCCTGACATGAATCAGAAAGCAGTTGACTAGTAATAGAGGCTAATGGTTGAAATTTTAGGAGCAGTTATGATTTATGACACTGTTATGTTTTTGGAAATTTAGGTGATTAACAGACATTTTTGGACTGGATTGTTTTATACATTGCTTCGACCAAGCAAATCGTAATAAAATTATTGATAGCTTCGCTACCATTTATAGTTATGGTTTAATCTAGCTGGACTAAAGTATGGAATGATAACCACCTTTGTACTGGGAGGAGCTTAATTGATTCCTATTTTGTAGTAGGATGGAGTTGAATATCATAAAATGTGGATGTAACATATTGAACTTGTTGATTTCTTTTGTTTTCCCCCAGTTGTCGTAATCAGAGAGTTGCATTAATTTCTCAGACCGAGCTATATTGCGTTGCTACACAGGTTTGGCGCTTATCACTATGAAGGAGGCGCTACTTTGGACGGATGGGCGTTACTTCTTGCAGGCAGAGCAGCAACTCACTAATCGCTGGAAATTGATGCGCATGGGAGAAGATCCCCCAGTTGAAGTTTGGATAGCTGATGTAAGTGTTGACATCTCTTCTTGATCATGTTCATGAGTTTAATTTCCCAAGTCTTACATAATAAAAATATTGGTTCACAAAACTTGTCCATGGAAATGAATTTATTTGGTTATACCCTCTCATTTTTTTTTGAACAGCCAGATCAAAGGTTTATCCTTGCTTTTTGAATTCTGCCACAGTTTTTGTGTTGTGAAATCCCAAAAGTGGTTTTATTCTTGTTAATTTTAGCTAGTTTTATCTCCCAAATATGGTCCTTTTCATTTTGTTAACCATATTCAGTTGTTTTGTTAATACCCCAAGCCTACTATCTTTCTTCCTGTCTGCTGTAGATTCAAGGAACTGCATGATAGTTGGTTTGATATATGGGAGTTCCTTCCAAAATTATCAGAACTACCAGAATTTTGGGCACATAAATTTATTTTGATCATACCAAATGCAAGCAGAAATTTAAAGATCTACTTGAGGCTTTTATTTTGCTAGGGAGAAAACTAAGAATAGTCATGCCAATTATTCAATGATTAGAGAGAATGGGTTTAGTTATTTGTTGATCTGCATTGCATAGCAATACTCATGATTAGCGTTTAATTTTATTCTGAATAATGTTGTTTCTAACTAACTTTTGTGGCTTGTGTTTGTTGCTGTGCAATCAGAACCTGTCAGATGAAGCTGTCATTGGAATTAATCCATGGTGCATCTCTGTTGACACTGCCCAGAGATATGAGCATGCATTTTCAAAGAAGCACCAGACACTGTTTCAGCTTTCTTCTGACTTGGTAGATGAAATATGGAAGGATCGTCCTCCTGTTAATGCTCTACCTGTATTTGTGCAACCTGTAGAGTATGCTGGGTGTAGTGTTACCGAAAAACTTAAGGAGTTAAGAGAAAAATTACAACATGAAAAGGCTAGGGGCATTATAATTGCTGCGCTTGATGAGGTACTATTAGACTTATTTATTTCTTGGTTTCTTATCCACTACAATATATTCAATTTTGATTTCTTGAGAATTTTGTCAACTTTGCCAGTTTTAATAGTTGTCCTTTTGTTATTCTTATTTAGGTTGCGTGGTTGTACAACATTAGAGGAAATGATGTGCACTACAGCCCAGTGGTCCATTCTTATTCTATTGTAACCTTGCACAGTGCTTTCTTTTATGTGGATAAGAGAAAAGTATCTGTTGAGGTCAGCTAATCCACTGAACACATTTTCTTCAATTATTCCACTATGTCGTTCATAGAATCGTAGTCATGATTTTGAGGGGCATGTAGTGAACTGTGGCTCTTGTTTGGTCCAGGTCCAGAACTACATGACTGAGAATGGTATTGACATCAAAGACTATAATATGGTTCAATCAGATGCAAGCTTGCTTGCATCTGGACAGCTAAAAGGTTCTGCAGTCAATGGTAGCTCTCATGGGGAAAATGATATGAATGAGAATTCAAAAGTTTGGATTGATTCAAATTCATGCTGCCTTGCACTCTACTCAAAACTGGATCAATATCAAGTTCTGATGCTGCAATCACCTATTGCTCTTCCAAAGGCTGTGAAGGTTTTTTTTTCTTTTGTTTTTAATTCATACCACGCCTGCTGAAAGTTTCAGAAGAACGGGGATAGAACATTTTACACTAGAAGTGTATTTTGTTCAAGTATTCCTTTTGTTTCATTCTATTTATTTTAGGCTTTTTATCTATGGAAAATCTGCTATCTGACATTAAAAGCTTTATCATTTATTAATCTATCTCTTTTTTTATTTCTTCTAATGATGGTATACTAAAATCCTGTCGAGCTGGATGGTTTGAAAATCTGCTATATTTGCAAGTTTTATCATTTATTATGCCTATATTTTTAATTTCTTGTAATCATGGTACAGAATCCCGTAGAGCTGGATGGTTTGAGGAAGGCACATATTCGAGATGGTGCGGCTGTCGTGCAATACCTTGCTTGGCTTGACAAGCAGGTCAGTATGAATTTGTCTCTCATGCGGCGTATTAGTCTTGGACTTCAAGCAAGTGTTCTTTTGCAGCTGCAAATTTGTTTAGTTGTGATGTAGTCCTTCTAATTATTTTCTACTAGCTCAGATGATCTTGTTTTAATGACAGATGCAAGAGAATTATGGAGCTTCTGGTTACTTTACTGAGGCCAAGGGATCACAGAAAAAGGAGCATATGTGAGTATGCACTGATATTAAACTTATGGTTCTTTTGGGAACATACTCCCTCTGGCCACAAATGTCATTTGACTTTCTTTTCCAGTCAAACTTTTGAAACTTTGTCGATCAATAAATTTTAAAATACATAGTTTGAAAACATAGAAATGGTATGCATAGATATTGTCTTGAAAAGTATTTTAATATTATCATGAAATTATTAGAATTTACCATAATAAAAAAATCATGGTCAAAGTCACACCCTGAAGACAAAAGAGTGTCAAACGAAATTATATCATCATTGTATGGAGTATTGACCTTTTATTCACCTATACAAATTGGAACCATCTATTATCAAAAGATGCCCAGCTTTTCTTTGTAGCTTAGGTCTATTATCCTCATTAGGCCCAGCTTTTGGCTGTCAGAACTGTCTAAATCAGTGGTTTCATGCCTTCCTGATAATTATAAATTTTAGAATATTTTTCTAAGGAGGTTGTGATAGAGTTTTCTTGAACTTCATGTGCAATACTGCAACGTAACTTGGTTGCAAACTTGAGACGCATTTTTTTTAATATACGTT